GACCTTAGCGTGGACAGAATGCCTGGAGCCTGTTTGGCTGGATTATGGCGCCAGCGTGGGATCCCCGCGTTGCTGGTGGGTGGAACATTCGTAAGGCCACGTCCACGCTCATAAACTCGTGCAAGTCTTCGCGTAGAATTCCCGTTATTTAAAATAAATAAATAAATAAAATGTGTCAATTCATTTCAGATTTGACGGTGAAGGAAAAGAAAAATATCAATTTCGTCGATTTGGGGGAAACAGGATGGGACGGACAGATGGACGGCAGTGAAGTATCGCAACGTCGCATGGATGTATTTTGTGTCGATATTGGTTTGTTTGAGAACAAAGGTTGCCGAGAGGAAGCTGGGTGCGCCTGAACCTTTCATACAGTACTTATTTTATTAAAGCAATTACCGGCCCCAAAGTGACACATCACAGTATTTCAAGCAGCTGTTCACAGAACAATAGTTTCTCTCATGCCAAGCCCATCGAAACTTCCTCGATTTAATCACGTCTGTACAAAACTAAATTAACGGCCTCTCCGTCACATAATTTCCTCATTGGTTATTTCAGCCATCTCAGGTTCAAAACTAGAAATGTTTGTAATTCAGAACTCCAGCTGACTCAGACTGACGAGTTATTCTTGAGTTCAGTTAAAGATTTTGGTCAGTCGTTCATAGATAAAATTAGCAGCATACTTTGGGAGCGAAATTTATATTTTTCATCTGTCTACCCATCTGCCAATTAAAACTGCCCAAACTACTGGACCGATTTCAGTGAAATTCTGTACGGAATTTCCATATTACATTTTCTGAGCCATTCTGATTTTAGGGTAGGTTGGGTTATTTTAAAAACCGCTTTACGTAAGAGTCTAAATAAATGTTAACGAATTATTTTCAGGTTATTTGACACATTTTCTATTCTAGACTGTTACCACTTTTAAGATACATTTACCTGGCTTCCTGAATTTCGAAAGTCAGTTTACGTTATAGCTTAAATAAATATTTGGGTGTACCCAGCCAAGTGTTCACCTGAGAAAACAGATGATAACAATTTAGATATCCATAAAAAAACATGTTTTGTCTTTCTATTTGCCAACTGGTTTAAAGAAAATAATACCATAATATTACATAATAATAGCTCTTCACAAAACGTTTCCAGATCCCTGCGACCTCAATTTAGTCTATCGGATGTCCACACGATTCACATCGCATGACTCCAAATTCCCGCAGGTTTAAATACTATATTTAACTGTCACATCGTTTCATTACTGAATTTGTTTTACAAGGGAAATTAGAAATACGCTTTGATTCCCTCAATAAATGATACGAATTTTCTCTCATTTCATACACGTATATTCAACAAAATAACAAAAGCAACGCGCACTTATTTTAATGTCACCAGAAGCGGAACTATTTGCCCGTTCTTATTACATTGATTTCACCATCGCAGATCCTCCGCTCTGCACTCGTACTGTGTTACTACGCCATCGGAAAAGATTAGATGCAAGAGAAATTCATAAGCAAATTTACTTTCTGTGCCTGAAAGCGTCAGCAGTAGCTATTATTCTAAAGACAATAACGTGAACTTACAGTCGAAAGAAAAGAAAAACACGGTGACTGTGTTGGTGAGCCCGTCTAATGAGTTTTTAACTGAAAGCGAAGGGCATTCATTGTCACATGTTGTCAAGGAATGGTACGTGAGGTGGGAACACAGTGACACCAACTATGATACTGAAACTTTGCATGCAGACGCATCTCTACAAAATGCCAGAGCTCATTGATGGCTCGGCGAGCAGTACGATTCAAATTACAGATTCTCTGAATAGTCAATAGATATTTAAGCGTTTAAAAAGCCGCTTGTATTATAGAACTACAAGGTTGTGTATGTAAATAATTTATATACAGTCGAAATTAGTACATGAGAGTCAGTGCACATATGAAACAGACGCGAGGTTAACGATGAGGTTCTCAGAGAAATCAGATTTGAGGTTCTCACGACGACAAGGATGTCGATGTTGATCTTCAGGGTACTAACGCCGTGTGGCACATAACTGCCTCCAATTTTGGCCTGAAAATCAAGACAGTATTTTTTCCTACTCGTTGGTAATTACCTACAAGCTCACACGGATTTATCCTGATGATGGAGACATGAAGCACTTCTGAAACGTCTACCTTACTACACAACGAAACATTCCAGGAGACAGCCATCTTCATACCAGTGGCCTTGAGCTAGGGCAGTGTAACACTTCCCTGAACTTAGTTCTTCTGTCTTGGGAATGTCACTTTTATTAATTCCCCGGCAACTTAGCACTTACGTCTTGTAAGCCTAAGTGTCAACACACAGCACTCGGCGATTATTGGGTGTAATTAAATTAACTTCAAGGCTCGTGAAGAAGTGTAAGCTATTTTAATTTTATTTCTTTATAAACCTGTATGAAATGACAGTCAGATAATAACCGAGTTCCAGCATCCACGCGAAAAACAAGGAACTTCTTCAGACTTGTTCCTTTAACTTTAATTGCAGTTATTCTGAATTTATTTTTGGCTCTACTGTCTAGCACGACCTACTCAGACGTCGAATAAAACTGAAGTGTCATGTAAAGAAAATTGTATAAACATTAAATAAAATATTTGATTTCCCTTCTTATTATTTAAACTTACCAACCAAACATAAACCCGTCTGCCTGTATCCATCTGAATATATATATGTTTATATATAATTAACTAATTTTATGGTACAGTTTCTTACTCAAAAATTTAAGTTACCCAGCTGGTCAAGAAATCTCCTGTTTTCATATAACTCAAATTTTAATTACATGGACTACTATTTGGATTATATTCTGATCTAGTTAAATCTAACCTGCTTATATAAAATCCATTTTAATAATAAGTTACCATCCATTCATGCCTGGGTCTCCCAACTAACCTCTTTACTTAATTTGTCGACAAAATTTTGTAAGCATTTATTTCATCATCGTACCCTTAATTTATTCTCTCTTGGTGCTAAGACTTGCTACTTATTTTAACAGAAATAATCAGTCACATTCTGGCAACTGTATTACCGATTAACGAATTTGAAGGCCCTGTAAATCTTTCCATCTTGCTGTGCTGGAAATCACAAGCGATATGAAGTGATTTCATTTCATTGCATAACAACGAATCTAATCACCGCGAAGTGGTTTATGTAATTCATCGAGATATGATATTTCTAGGACAAATAACGATTTCTTTATTTCGATTTAGAATTAATTGTTATTACCACAAAAGTACTAATATGTTAATACAAGGATGATTTTTCAGTTTAGGGAATGTTCTTATTTCTTAAAGAAAAAAAGAGGAATAGAATTGCTACAGAGTCTGCAAAGATCCGTTTCATCTTACAATAAAACACCTATTCAGGTACTTCACGTCCTTGACAACATAAGATAATGTAATTAACATGGACAAGTTCTTTCGCACATTAGACATGTTTTCTTATCATGTTAACCGTGCTAGTCATGTTAGATGGCTAACACTTGAAAAAAAAACTTTTGTCCTGCTCTCATGGTTCAGGAATACTCCAGCAACTGGAACACAGCAAAACCGAACAGATAAAATACATCGTTAGCCAGCTCCAACCGAACAGGCGTTGTTAGCCAGTAAATTGAGGCTTAACCTCGGTCCCTCCTTTTCGTTATATTAAACAACAGCTGTCCTAATTGTAAAGGATAAAAAGTTATTTTGACTTTCTAGAAATAATTGTTTCAAAAAGTAAACTATTAGACGTGGCTATGAACAAAGAACATGAAGTGGATTGTCTTCTGAGACGCTTCGCCATCATCAGGATGATGGAGGTAAGGCGCACACCTGAAACGTCGGCCAATTTCTACTAGATCATACAGCACAACATCCCAGAGACAATCATATTTATATTTATTGCCTTAAGAATATAAAATCTCACCAACAAATAACTTAAATATTTTGAATGCGTAACACCATCATCCATGATATTGGGCGACATTTTTAATAGAAGCCATTAAAATAAAATAATATGATTTTTAAGTACGTTACTTTGACGATCAGAACACGTTCGTAGAAAATAATCTGCTGAAATATACGGCCGCTACTCCAGAGTTCGATAGTTGTCACTGTGATCGATCAAGGTCCTGATCAGAATCCTGTCCCGAAACTTCTCCTGGTTGTGTTCTATCTTATCTAGAAGGCATAAAAATAATAAAAGAAATGCAGCTGACCAAAACGAGTTCGGACCTTCAAAATCAGGTGTTCTAAATGTAGGTCGAACCCGATAATCTGTCATCTTATCCACTGGGAAAACATTACTACAATCTCCGTACTATCACAGAACACAAATACCCAATACAATAGAAGTCCCCAAATTCTGAAAAGCTTCATAAACTTCGTGTTTCGTCCGTAAATCGGGATTCGATTTCCCATAGAACTAGACACAGTGTTACAAAGAGCAGCTAGTTTCTCAAGCCAGCTGTAATTAACGAACTCCTTGGCAAGATATTATTTTTGAAACGTGAAAAGTCTGTTAAGAAATCATACACTTTTATGGAACCACAAGAATGTTTATTGTGTTCACAAGAGCCCGCCACGGTTCAGTGTTTTGGACCAGATGTATCCAGTAGACGTATAATTTTTCTTTTCTCTTGTCTTATCTGTTAATGGATTAACAATATAAATATCAAAGCGACTCTGTCTCTGGCTTGAAAACTTCCGTCAATCGTGTGGAAGGTAAACATTTCAATGCATTGTGGTCATGTGAGAGCTTAACAAACGTTTCAGTAATAAATTTGTGCTACTGTGGTTATAACTGTCTGGGTCCAGTTTTAGATTATTCAAAGTCTGCTTTGCAACAATATTGATTCTACACTGCGGCAGTCGAAATGTACAGTGTAGAGCAGTACTTTCCAAACCTGGGTAAGTTACCCAAAAATTGGTAAAAGTGGTTTTTCTTTGGGTAACGACACACCCATTTCTGTGTGACTTGACTGAAATCCCCGATGGTGTTAATGGTTTTGCAGAACAAGCAGTCAGTGCAAAATGTTATTTGAAGAAATAAAGGACCATTTGGAGTCTTTCTGGTTAACAATTCGTGATGAGCTGGGGAGGCCATGATGCATTTAATGCAGTTTCCGAGCAGGAGGATTTTCCTCTCTTGCCTTCATAAAGAGCACAAAACGAAAATGTTTGCTGAACCCCGAATACGATGAGAGGTGAGCTCTGTCTCCAATTCCTCCCAATTTTTTGGAACTAGTAAATAAGATGGAGCAGTGGCATTGTACTCATTAGCTGGGACCTGAGTGATGAAATATTCATGGTGAATAATTACCAAATTTTTTGTGGCTGCTAAAATGTTTAGAAATGTTTAAAATAAAGACATTGCATCAAATATATTGCTTGCTTCCTAATTTTTACCGATCTATCTTCACTTGTCACATGTTTTCTGTGCAGTTAGTGTTTCACCTACGTACATTGGGTAAAAATGACTTTCTTATAAGCGGTTTTGGGTAATGAAGGAAAACGTTTGGGAAGCAGTGTTGTAGAACCTTAACATTTTCCACTGATTAATTTCATAGTAATGGAAGGCATTGTCCAGCATTATTTCTGATCTTCGTTAACTTTGCAACTAAAAGAGCGGGGAAGTTCCTCTCGCCAAACCCAAGTTTTCTACAGAAAGCGTCTTGAATCTTCAATTTCGTTATATTTGTCTTCAGCCTGAAGATCTCTGAGAGTATATTCCTCCAGAACGTCGGTATCTAAGTAGACCTACAAATCCACAAGGCGTTACTACTGGTGTGACTAGTATTAAAAGCTCCACATATTCCAAAGATCTGCTACCACTGGTAATGAGCTCGTGGTCAATTTAACAATAATACCAGAAAAACAATGTCTTCCTTCCCCACACAGTAATGTGGTCAAAGGTCCCAATGTTGCGCAACAATGGGTTTCCACAGTGGGACCTCCGGTCTCGTTGCTGAGAGAAACGCAACACACATGGCGTGTACCTGCGTGAATAACACCTCAGAAAGTCAATAAACCTCACATATTAAGACGTTAGTTCCTCGCAGTAATTACCATGAGCGGGGAGTGAGAAAATCAGATGGTAAGAAAATTACGTAAGACACGAACATTTACGAACTCACCTTTACCGTCTGCTTGAACTGTGGGAATTGAGCAGACTTGCGAGACATCTATCGAGACAACTCCATGTTTATCGAGCGCCACAAGTCAGTGCAAGCAACGTCGTCAGTAAATTGCGCTAAACCTATGACGTAAGGCCTTCCTTGAACTTTTTGAAACACAAGTAACTTCTCCGAGTATTCTGGAAAGAAACTTCTTATGCTGTTTCGGAAGTAAATTGGAAATGCATGAATGCTCGTGGGACAGGCCACCGCTGATTACCACAAACAGTATAACAATATATTAAAGGTCTTTTTCCTCTCAGAAGCTCGCATTGCCACCATGTTAATGATATTGAAGGTGGAAAATTGTAAGGTACACAGGCAGAATGACTTTGGCGGTATTCGTGTATGGTTTAAAAGTAAGTTAGTTGTTATCACAAACATGACGATACACTGCTCCATATCTCATTACGAAACAAGGCAAGATATTTCCGGGAAACCCTGGTGTGTTCTGTGAACTCCGTGTGAAGTGAGCTTCAGATTCTTGTTCAAGTTGCTGATGTTCCAATTGTAATAAAACCAAACGCAACGAAAGCTCAACAGAAGTCCAAGTCAAAAGAAGTTGATTTGTTTTGGTTTGTTCTGTTAATCAAATGGGTATTAATATTAAAATGTTGTCGTCATTATGTAATAAATTTATTTCATAAACAGCATAAACCAGGGTGAAAGTTTAAGTCCAAATTTCACAACCGAATTGGTGCCTTGGGGTTTATATCTCATATTAAATGTAATTTAACTTCAGTTAATTGCCACCTTTAGTCTGGCAGAAGTTTGCCGATGTTTCAGACGTTCCCGCTGAGCTGAGATAATGACTCTGATGATGTACTATTCTATCTGTTTTGATAATTGTATTTTGTTTGAAGCATAACCAGAATAGAAACCGAGATACTACTTCAAGCAAAATTAAAAAGTTATGAGAAAATTTAACATTTGTACTTGAACGTAATATCAGAACGCGATATTCTGAGATTAAAGTGAGTTTAGTTTTTGAATAAAAGCACAAATGGCTCGATAAGCATAAATTGATGGTATTCGAACCTGGTTGTCTTTTCTCGACATAAGCTTCTTTAAAATGGCGTTACTGAATGCCAGTCTATCCGACGTTTTTTTGGGGTACAGTATTACATATATAGCAGAATGAGGCATTTGGGGAAATGTGCAAAGAAACCGCACTTATGTCACACATTTCACATATGTTCACCTGACTCGAACCTTGAATCAATGCCTGTCTTTCGACGTAACATTCTTTGTTTTTGACCGCCAAGTGCTCAGCGTGAGATACTTGATAAGCTTCTCTTCAGAAAGATAAGAAGCCGCTTTTATGTCAAAGAAAAGGTTATATGGACAGATCCTGCGTTGTAAGAAACACGACGAGTCATAAATGTGGATTTATGTTTACTAAAATACAATTTGGAAAAATTTGAGAAAATTACAAAGGGAGGATCTTCATAATTTATACTCTTCACCAAATAAAATCAAGGAAGATTAGGTGAGCGAGGCATGTGGCGCTAATGGGGTGTACTGAGAAATGCATACAAAATTTTGGTTCTAAATCCTAAGGGAAGAGATTACGTGGAAGATCTAGGCGTCGATGGGAGGGAGATATTAATATGGACCTAGGTAAATGAGGTTGTAGGGTGTGGATTCTATTTATTTGGCTCAGATAGTGACCGAAGGTACTTAACCTTCGTGTTGCATAAAATATACGTAACTTCTTGATTAGCTGAGCTTTCCGAGAACTCTTTCTCAAATGAGTTAGTTAGCATTCACAAAAAGGAAAGTGCACTGCGATTACATTAAGAACATATACGCACGTAAACGAGAAGTACATACCCTCTTAACGCTGCTCTGTCTGACTAACTGACAGGTTAAGAGGTTATTTTGTTACTGAGGGCAGCAATGGCATCTGGATTTTAATTTTGACAAACCAAACAACAGGAATTCATTCAACAGCGCCATCGTAACACACCTCTCTCATATTTAAACTTTAATTTACAATTTTTCAACGTTTAGGTTGTTCTGATTGAAGGCCAAAGAGATCCTTAAAGTCTTGATGGAAACTGATGTCATCAGCTGTCAGAAGTAGCAATCAATTTAAATAATTAGATTGTCTGTAACTTGGGAGAATGTTCTACCGATATATTTTTTGACGCTTGTTAATGAAGTCCATTAGCATGAGCTCAAGGTTTAAACTTGCAACACCGAAATTTAGATAAGACCTTGGCTTTAGAGAGAGTGAGAGCTACGACCGTCTTTATTATTAGTAAACCAGTGACTCCGGTCAATCGCAAACACTTTTAGTAACAATTTCTACAACTTCGAAAATCATGACTACTTTAACTAACTAACTCTAGAATTTTAAGAATTTTGTTCCTTGAACTTTTTAAACTCAGTAAGAAGGGCTTAAGGCAAACGTAATTTGTACTCACGTGAGTCCTTCTTGCCTAGTACCAAAGATATTTCTGATCGCTTGTGTGATATTGTTATTTTGAATGTGCACGCGGCAACTGAGGAGAGAAGTGCTAATATGAAGGACGACTTTTACGAGAATTACGAGTGCTTGTGTACGAACTATTACTTGTATATCACTGGAGAATACTGCCAGGCTATTTCAATGAACCAGTAGAGAAAGAAGTTGTTTTCAGACAGGCAATGGGAAACCAGATTTTACAGGAAATCATCAACGACAATGAAATTAGGGTAGTAACATTTGCCTAGTCAGAATACAAATTTCCATTAAATTGCGTTCATAAATTGTTTATATGGGCTCATTCTGTCTGTAAGCAGATAGATTGGTCATTTCGTAATGCACGAAGTTAAGCCAATAAATGATCTGTTTCGGAATTAGATTTTAAAAATTTAAAGCACGGTTCTAGGTAAAAATGTCTCCTGCTTTGAAATTCAGAAGGTAACTCTGCATATTGTCCCCAGAGTGTGTGTATATGTTTTTATTATGATTTCCGGAATAAACAGGGATAATTTACTAAACGGCACTAAGAAGTTGATGTTTGTAACAGAAACGCATTGTCTTGTTTGCGACAGGAACTGAATTTGCAAAATTTATTTAGGTGAATTTCGTGCTTCAAAGAGTTTAAGCAACATTTTTCATGGTTAGATTAGGAAAGTTCAGAGTTGTTAGATCCATGGAGGAAGACTAAATTGCAGTTGTTGCAGATTCCAAGCCAAGTGAATGAAGATGATCCGAACAATTGATAACATGAAACTTCGAAGGTACTTGCGGGTCCAGTGAGGTGCCAAAGAATGAAAGGCCTAGCCGAAGTGTGCGGGGGGACTGTGTCGTTTTGCTCGCCGACTGTGTTGTGAAACAGGAAGTCCTGCTTAGTGTGTCACAGCATTACAGTACCCCAGTCTGCCTTTAATCGACCATTCCTGTTAAGCTATTACAAGTTAACTGTTCCCTACGTCGTCCAATGGATTCTATACAGCTGTGGGATTTTGTCGTTGTTATTAAAGTGCAACGTAAAATAATGTCAAAATCATATTTATAATTTTAAACACACTCATATTTAATATTAGTTTTACCATGAAGATTAATGTTATCATTAACATATAAAAACAGAACATTTATATCTACATACATCTACATGTATCGTTCAGCTTTTAAGCAATCTATAATTAAAGTTGCAAAAAGTTGTCAAAATTCTTATATAGTAGG